AAATAATTTCAAATTTGCAACTCAGTTTATATATTTCTTATAAATATTAGACAATATTACAGTATTTATTTATAATAATCTATTTGAAAATATTTAATATTCGAACATTTTGTTACGGTACGGGAAGTTCCAGCAATTTGCCTTAAGGCACGATGCCATGCACCCCTAGTTTCCTTTCAAATTTATCAATCTTTGATAATGTGTAACAATTTTTATGATTGCTAAATTGTTTAAATAGTTAAATGAAAATCTAAAATGATGTTTCTTTATATCTAATAGTTTCTATAAATCTTACTTATATTGAAAAAAAGTTATGTGAGTGTGTATGTTTGGACAAAAAAGTGCAATTTAAATAATAGTGCAAACAAAGTAAGTAAGGGATGATTGCGTTTAAATTTATTAGCCACAAGTCATTTTAATAATATCTTATTATTACAAATTCATTAGCTTCAAGTAATAATTTCTCGCCAATAACTGCATTTCTCGTGCTTGTTAATTACAAATTATAAAAACAATTTTTCTATACAAATATTGTTTAGATATACAATAGCGTGATTTTGAAGAATAAAAATAATGAGAACGATTATTTAACGGTTTGAATACGTCATGAATGTTTGCCGTTAAACGGATGGATTGATTCATTGATTCCAGTTGGAATATTTCGTTTAAGCAATTAGAAAAAGTCTCGTTACGAACTAATTAACAAATTATTATTCAGATAAAAAATTTGAAGAAATTCGGTTCGAATAAATTAAGTAAAGTTCATTGTATCGGTAAATATAATATGAACTAAAAATGTTATTTGTGTTTTATATTTTATTGTTATGATTCATCGTTAAAGATACTTCAACCTTTCATAAAAAATGTCTCAGTTAACTTTATATTTCTCGTTTTGTTCTTTGGATATGAAATATAATAAGGTGAGTATATTTTTAAGCAATTTTAAGTTTTGCTAACCCCGAAGTGAGGGAGGGGGGGGGGGTAAATAGCTTAAATAACATTACTGCCCATTGAAATTACCGACCGTTAAAAATACCTTTTTTACCTTCCCGTAGGGTAAGTTATTGTAATGGGCCGAAAATCGAAATTGAAAATTTTTACATTACTTCACGTTTTGGAGGTTTCTGAGCATTTTGGCATACCTCAGAAAAAATGGATGCGTGTGTGTGTGTGTATGTATGGATACAATTTTTCGACCACGTTTTCGGGCGCACGGATCAACCGATTTAAATGGTTCAAAAAACATTCGATTCCTATTGATAGAGAGACGTGCTGATTAGTTTTTGACAAAGGCAGATCCAGCAGTTACGGAGATAAAGAGCAAAAAGTGCAGGAAATAGAGTTTTTGAGAGAACAGAGCATCCGATTTGAATGATCTAAAAAACATTCAATTAGTAATGATTGGGAGAAGTGTTTATTAGTTTTTGGCAATAGCAGGCCCAGCCATTTCAAAGATACGGAGCTAAATGTGCAAAAAAAGGCAGTTTTTGAGAGAACTAAGCGTCAGAATTAAATGATTCAAAGAACTTTCTGCTTGTCTTAACAAAATGATTGATTTGTATATCGAAAATAATTCAGATTTTATTTTTAATTCTGACTATAGTTCTAATATACTTTGAACAAATGCTTTCAACTGTGCAATTCAGTTTATATAAATCTTATAAATATTAGACAGTGTTACCGTATTTATTTATAATAATCTATTCGAAAACATTTAATATTTTTTGAACATTTCGTTACGGTACGGGAAGTTCCAGCAATTTGCCTTAACGTACGATGCCATATACCCAACTAGTTTCCATTATTTGTTATATAAATTCTTACAATTTTGGATTTATATGTTTTTTCACTTTTGGGCCTTGTGTAAAATTTCATTCAATTGTCTTCATAATTAACTTGAAAAAAATTACTATGTCAGGTAGTCAAAAAATCCGCTTTTATAATTTCTGCTAATTTTTGTCAAATTGAAGTTGAAATTATTAATGTGAGATTGTATTTTAACCCGTCTTTGGAATTTTGATTTCAACTTATTAATAAGCATACTCATTATCTTAAGACAATCTGAAAATGATATACATTTATGTTGGAATTGTAACATATTACATATATCATTTTCGGATATTTGATGGGTAGTTGAAATTTTGTCACCAAATTATGGCGAAAACTCAGTTCCAAACTTTTCCGGAAACCCGGGATAAAAGATCTAAATCCGGAACAAAAATTGCTTTTAGAAAAACCTGGGACACAAGGTGGAATACCGGGACTGTCTCGGACGTATGATCATATTAAATATTAACTCAAAAATGTACTAATGAAAAATGTTTGAATCTACAAAAATTTTCATTTTCGAATGTTTTTCGATTACTATATCTTACCCTACGAGAAGTTCAAATATTTTTAAGCCAAGTTCAGAAAAATGACAACGGGAGAGCATAGGAAAAACTTCGGAAAATTTCAGAGTTAATATAAATTTTGAAGTGAGTTATATGGGTCAAAAGAAAGATACCAAAAAAATAAACTTTCTAATTATATGGGTATCGTTTTTATTTTGTCCGCCCGTTATACGAAGAAATCAAATGATGGAACAACAAGAGGAGTCTTCTCCTCCTTGGTCGAGTGCCTCTTTAGTCTTTTACCGATCTTGACCGTAACGAATCGCACTTGGAACAATTAAAAACGTTAATTACGGCTGCATGCCGTTCCGTATGGCAAAACATTATATTTTAATATCTTATAACACAGTCCACGACTCGATTCTATATTACATTACATTATATAAGTAGGTATCTTTTATTCTTTTCATTAATTAACCGTTGCTACTTTTTGTACTAATGATATTATGATTCGGTGTGTATGCGATTTGGGATTTGAGTTTGTCTTTCACAGGTCAATAGATATAGAGCCATTGTAGATTTGGTATTATATATGAGTGTTATAAAATATATATTTTTTGGAGAATATTTACAGACAACTGCAGCCATAGATAAGCAAGTATGACTGCAACCCCTTGGACTAGATAGCTTAAGTAGAAGACTTTTAGAGAAAATAGACCAATAGATCTACTTGAGTCGTCTTTCAACCTCACGTCCACTTTTCGGCCTATTTTTCAGCCCTCAACAAATGTATTTTTTGGGCGGGTTAAAAAAGTTTTAATTAATTATAATATTTTAGGATCGGTATAAAATTGAACAAAAATTTTCTTTTCTGTTAGGGATCGTGCGATGAGGTTATGTTGTTTATGTTAGAAATAATGTGTCAATTCATAGTATTTTCTATTCTAAAAGAGCTTAACTGTTTTTAAGTAAATGGCAAGAGTTTTAAGTACTTAATAGCAGCTAGATAGAAGCTTAGGGTCCTAATTAAATCTTATTTTTTGACTCGAGATTCCATCAGAAGAATGAATAAAATTTTTCCGATTCTTTTAAGTATGTAGTCAGATAATTCTTTAAATTACCTTCATTCAGCGAATTTACAAAATCGTCCAAAACAATTAAAATTATCATGTTTAATAACTAAAATTAACAAGCAGAAGACTTTACAATAAAGTGTTGTTAAATCATTGACGTACATATTTTGTTGTATTTTTTTTAAATTATTATGAAAATGTTAAAAATGTACTGTATATTTTGTTAGAAAAGTTTTCACGTTATATAGACTCTGTGATAAAAACTTTAGTCTTGCAGCCACAGTGTTTAATATCATTAGTAAATTACTTTATAACTTTGTTAAAATTTTAAAAACAGACTTATATGTGTAAATCTATTACAATAAAAAATTGGAGATTGATCTAAAACACCTCTTCAGCATTTTTAGACTAAAAGCATATTATTCTATTTACTTTATTACAAAATCCTAGTAGACCAGTAAAAAAAATAATATTTGTATCCTTGTTTCCTTTTAAAAAACTCGGAATTTTCTTTGCAAATAAGTAATATAAATGAAAAAAATATTAAAATTCTTACAAGAATCACATACAACAATTTTAAAATTTTCTTAAAGAGAATCTTAAACAAAATCTTAAGTCTTGTATGTGAATCTTATAAGTTTTTCAAAGAAAATCTTAGAAGCCTTGTATGTAAATCTTAAGAACTTTAAAGAAAGTTTTATAGTAAATCTTAAAAGCCTTGTTTATTAATCTTATAAAATTTTTGAAGGAACCTTAAAAAAATCATAGAACACTCGTATGTGAATCTTATAAGATCTTTATTAAAAAAATCTTAGAAGCCTTGCATGTGAATCTTATAAGGTTTTTGAAGAGAATTTGATTGTATAATGTGACTCGCACAAGACCTTTAAACGAAGTTTGAAAAGCCTTGTATGTGAATCTTTTAAGATCATTAAAGAAAATCTTAGAAGTCTTGTTTGTGAATCTTAAGGTCTTTAAAGAAAGTTTTATTGTAAATCTTAGAAGCCTTGTATGCAAATCTTATAAGATTTTTCTAAGATATTAAAAAAAGCCTTATATGTGAATTTTATCATTTTTTAAGGAAAATAATAAACAAATCTTTAAAGTCTTATATGTAAATTTTATAAAAAGATCGTTAAAGGGTATCTTAAAAGCCTTGTATATGTTATTAGGTCTTTGAAGGAAAATTTTAGAAGCCTTGTATGTGAATCTTACAAGAATTTTGATAATTTTTGTACATCGAAACAAAACTAAAATTTAGTACATAATTGACATACATGCATAATATTGAAAGATTTATACAATTTTGAAAGAACTTACTTGATGAAATACAAAATGGCCATTTTTAGTTCTTTTTCGCCCATTTTTCAGAAACGAGAGGATCCACCTTTATCAAAAACTAGTAAGCTTTATCACAAAACTAACATAGATTAAAACTATTATAAACCAACTCGATAATTCTTAAATTAATATACTTTTTTCAAAAAAAACATTCAAACAATTTATATTTAACAGCCATTACGAAACTGTTTTTGACAGCTGAATTGTCACCGTTCACACGTTGGTGGCAGCACTGTACACAATCTGTCACTTTCAGTCACACATAATCACATAACCTCAAGTTTTATAATAAATGCTAAAATATTACTACAAATACATAACAAATAACTCACTATGAATAATCTCCGCCGAACCTTCTTCAAATTTACAATATCCCAGCTAAAAAATTCCCCAAACCGTTTGTCAAGCCTCCGTCCAATTTCCTCCCCAGTTTACCAGAGTTCAATAAGTCTCCAAAATCTTTACCCCAATAGTAGTTTGAAACTCGTCACACCTGCGAAGGTGAGAATTTTAATAAAATCTACATAACGTACTATGTGTTTTAGGAATTTTGAAATGTTAAAATTTTGACATCAATTTTGAGGTTAAATTTTTGTTCTATTGTTTATTTTTTAGATCGAAACCAAAAGTGAAGGTTTCTCTGGATACATACCCCTGGACGAAATCACTATCACCTATTCGAGGAGCTCAGGACCTGGTGGACAAAACGTTAATAAAGTTAATACAAAAGTTGATATTAGATTTAACGTAGCAAATGCAAAATGGATCGATGAATCCATAAAGGAACAATTGTTAGCACAAGTAAGTAAATGAATAGAACATGTTTATTAAAAAATCAAATACTTATTAAAAAATGTGTTTCAGAACAAAAATAATATTACTAATGAAGGTTTTTTGATTGTCAAAAGTGATATTACACGTTCCCAACAATTAAATTTAGCCGACGCTTTAGAAAAACTTAGGGCAATTATTAGAAAAGCGTATGCACCTGTTAAGGTTGAACCGAGTCAAGAAAGTATTGAGAGACAAAGAAAAAGGTATGTTATTTTATACTCATTTTTCAATTTATATATATATATATATATATTGAGTTTTATATTACAGGCATGAAAAAGCTGTGAGGGAACGTCTAATGGTAAAAAGACATAGATCAACAATTAAAGAAGACCGAAGGGGGCCTGCAGTAGATTTCTAAATATATTGTATAGATTTTATTGTAATAAAGTGTACAAAATCTGAATTCTGATTAGTATCTATCATAAGATTTTTTAAAATGGTTACAATACTAATGAAGCCGTAGGCGTTTTAGACAAGATGTAAGTTAAAAGATTTTTCACAAATTTAATAAATGTTTATAAAATAAATATTTATTGATAGTTAGTAGCTATTTGTCACTTTTTCCAAGATTTGTACAACCAATTCAATTTGAACATAAGCGCATTTGCATTTTTTGCCAAACTGATTTTTTAAATCATTTATAACTGATGATGACTTGTGAGTATGCATATAAATGATACAAAAGATACCGCTGTTTATTTTTGAGAAGAAATAATAATAAGATAGTATTATACTTACTTGTGTCGTTTTTCACTCATTGTAGTAGATTTACATCCTTTGTAAAAGATTTATTACATTCATTGGATTAGATTTACTACACTCAATATAGTAGATTATCACTTATTCTGATATATTTATACACCCTGTACTAAATTTATTGTAGTGGGTATATTACACACTTTACACTGCACTCATTGAAGTAAATTTTGATTTATTGTAGTAATTTACATTTTTTTATAATAAATTTATTGCACTCATTGTAGTAAATTTATTACACTCTTTGTTGTAGATTTATTTCACTAATTAGAGTAAATTTACACTCGTAGTATTGTTATTATACTACACTACACGAAGTAGATTACACTCCACTCAGTATACACTAATTGTATTTGCATTTCACTACACGAATTCTAGTAGATTTACACTCATTATAGTAAATTTGCATTACACTCATTGTAATAGATTTACAATCATTGGAGTATATTTGCACTCAGTAGTAGATTTACTACTCTTTGTAATAGATTTACTACACTCATTGCAAGTATATTTACACTATTACTAGTACTACTAATAGCAAATTTAATACTCATTATAGTCTATTTACACTCTTTGTAGTAGATTTACATTCATTGTAGTAATTTTACTACATTCAAGGTAGTAATTTTACTATACTTACTCATTGTAGTAATAATCAAATACTCACTCATTGTAGTAATTTTACTACACTCACTGTAGTAACTCACTATTCTATACTATACATTCCTTATAGTAATTTTACTATACTCATTGTAGTAAATTTACTACTCATTATAGTATATTTACACTCTTTGTAGTAGATTTACTACATTCATTGTAGTAAATTTACTATACTCATTGTAGTAAATTTACTACATCCATTGTAGTAATTTCACTACAAACATTGTAGTAATTTTACTACACTCATTGTATAGATTTTACTATACTCATTGTAGTAAATTTACTACACCCATTGTAGTAATTTTACTACACTCATTGTAGTAGATTTTACTCTACTCATTGTAGTAAATTTACTACACCCATTGTAGTAATTTCACTACACAGATTGTAGTAATTTCACTACACAGATTGTAGTAATTTCACTACACCCATTGTAGTAATTTCACTACACACATTGTAGTAATTTTACTACACTCATTGTATAGATTTTACTATACTCATTGTAGTAAATTTACTACATCCATTGTAGTAATTTCACTACAAACATTGTAGTAATTTTACTACACTCATTGTATAGATTTTACTATACTCATTGTAGTAAATTTACTACACCCATTGTAGTAATTTTACTACACTCATTGTAGTAGATTTTACTCTACTCATTGTAGTAAATTTACTACACCCATTGCATTAATTTCACTACACAGATTGTAGTAATTTCACTACACAGATTGTAGTAATTTCACTACACAGATTGTAGTAATTTCACTACACCCATTGTAGTAATTTCACTACACACATTGTAGTAATTTTACTACACTCATTGTATAGATTTTACTATACTCATTGTAGTAAATTTACTACACCCATTGTAGTAATTTCACTGCACACATTGTAGTAATTTTATTACACTCATTGTAGTAGTTTTACTATCTGCACTGATTGTAATAATTTTACAACACTTACAACACAATTTACTATGCTCATTAGTAGTAATTTTACTGTACTCTTAAATTTACCACTCATTGTAGGAATTTTTTTCCACACACATCCACACTTTTTAAGCACATTTTACTTTGTTTGAAACTATGAAATTACAACCATAAGCTATCCATGCTTTTTTTAAACATATTTTATTCAATTTGAAAATATGAAGTTTAAACCATGAACTATTTGACTCAATTTGAAAATATCAAATTATTGATATGTACTAATATCCACGCTTTTTAAGCTAATTTTACTCAATTCGATTTTGATATCAATTTGAAAACCATGAACTTTTTTTAAACATAGTTTGCTCAATTTGAAAAAATCAAATTAAAACCATGGACTACCTATCTACACTTTTTGTTAAACATATTTATCACCATTTTGGAATACTTCTTCAGATTTTCCTAAGGTAAAGTTAACCGATAGAAAATTTTCTAATATAAATATAAATCAGTAATTTCGAAATAGTTTTTCATTTCGTCATTTTTTTATCGTCATATACATCGGATACAATTTTTCGTCGACGATTTCGGGAGCACGGATAAACCGATTTGAATGATTCAAAACGCATTCAATTCGTATCGACAAGGAGACGTGCTGATTAGTTTTTGGCAATAACCGAAATGCTTTTAAATTTTTGAAATCGGTACGGCCGTTCTTGAAAAAACTTCGACAAAAAATCAAATTTTTCTCACATTTTTCCAATTTCGGTGCCAAGCCGAATCCATTCATAATGACTGGAGACTTCAAGGATTTCTTGAATAATTTTTTTTTCGGAGTTATAATTAATAACGCCCAGTTTTTTTCACAATTTACTTCAAAAGAATATTAATATAATAAATTTACAATTAATAAAAATCAACATAAAATAAAGTTATATAAAATACAATGTGAGTAAAGTTAATAATTAATATTCTCTAAAAATTATTTTCTTCTAAAGATCACATATCTTCTATCAAAAAAGTAACACTATAATACAAAACCTATAAATATGAGATTGCACTGTGGTTAAAGATATTTGATAACTTTTTTTTGTTCTTAATATTAAATATTTATGTATATATATAATATATCCAATATTTTTATTAAAAGTAATAAAGGATGCCCTTAAAACTATAAATATATAAACGTAACTAACACACACTATTTAAAATTTAAAAACTTTTCACATTTACATGTTTACAGACCAATATATAATATATTAGGACATTTTTAATATCCCTACAATCTAAAACAAAATTTATATACTACATACATATAAGTTAATTTTACCGAAGAAATAAATTAATTTGTTAAATTAATGATTATTTTGTACAGTATACAAATTATATCCTAGTGGAGATCAAATATTCAAAGTTTTGAAATAAGTACCATATAACAATATTATGACCAGAAAACATTTCTTCACCATAAACCTAAAAAAATCGAATGAATGTCCAAGCAACCATAATTGCATAAAAAACAAAAACGATAAATATACAAAAAAAAAAAAATCACTGGTATATGTTAATGTTTATCTTGAAAAACCCAGAAGGGCTTAAAAATAAGTCTGCTGGAATTTGTAGTTGATCATAATCTAAACTATCGTCTATCTACACTAGAACGATTGAATTCGATTTAAGACGATTGTAGATGATTTTGATGCATTTGATGACTTGGATGAAAAAATAGTTAAAATGATCACAAATGAGCAGATGTGATAATTACTAATACAGAAATTTGTACAAAAACAGAAATAGCCAAGAAAATCCTGTCACCGGGTTAAGATTTTGTTTCAAAGAACCTTTCATAGATGACTACATCGAGTTGTCACCAGAAGGTCTTAAAAAGAAAATTCATTCATTCGTCTCCAAAAACCTGTTTAAGTTAATAAATACGATTTTTTTCTGTCTACATCACACCACAGTTTTTGATGACTATTCAAGTGGATTCAAGACGATTGTAGATGATTTGCTTGTGAATGATTATTGTGCTTTTGATGAATCGGATGATGTCTTCTTTGAGAAGTTATTATAAGTATGAAACAAGATGTGCTTGGAAGCACTGACGCAACTAAAGATAACAGCAAAAGTTGCTAAAACAAATCAAGAAATAAGTTTTATCACTGGTCTAAGATAAGGTTTATCTCCTCAAAGGTCCTTTCAAATCACCCAAAAAGACTAGTCTCCAATCTAACTAAAGAAAAGTTCAATTTCAAAAGATGACTACATCCAGCTGTGCCCAGAAGGGCTTAAAAAGAGCCTGTAGCATTATCTTCCAGAATAGATATGAACTATTTTTTGCCAATAGAAACAAAGTTTTAAAACAATTCAGGTGGATTCAGGACAAATGTTGATGACTAAGTACAAACATTTTTACTAAAACAGAAATTGCCAAAGTAGTTATCTCACTTGCACAAATACAACCGAGTTGGACCCAAAAGGGCTTAAAAAGATCCTGCAGGATTTTGAACATGCAATTAAAAGTGAACTATTTTTTGCCTACACCACAACCAGAGTTTGATAACAATTGACATAAATTCAGGACGATTTTTGATGATTTGGATGATGCTGACTTATGTTTTTTTTTATAACTATTACCTGGCATATATTTTATATACAGAATGTTTTTATATATTGTGTATCTATATAATGAAAATAAATGTAAAAATTAATTTTGGTCCCGGAAATTTAATTTGACTTCTAAAAACAAGCGCCATAGTAAACAGAAAATATAAAGCAAGATATGTAACAAATATTAAGAGGGTATTCTAGTCTATAATTTTTAGGAAATCGATTATTTAGTATTCAAAAATGTGTGTACAAGAGAATTTTTTGAAATTTACATAAGAAGAGTTTGACCATGATAACCCTCCGATTTTAATAAAATTTTCTTTATAAACTTCTTATCAGTACGAATTTCGTGTATCCCCAAATTCTGATTTTTACTATTTTTAAAGAAATTCAGAATATCAAGTTGTGAAAAATATATCTTTTTTGAGAAAAAAATTAACGTATTCGTAGTTTATACAAATGTGACATTGTTCTAAATTAATATAATAGTCTTTCTTCTTCAGATTATTTAGAGGACTAAATTTTGAAACAAATTGTCTTCTTTAAGATATCTTCAATGTACAACTATTGAAAAATATTTTTTTAAATTTAAAATATTTTATATAGATTTTATAGATATCAGGAGAATTTAATCACGATAACGCTCATGCTCAAATTTCAATTTTTACTATTTTTCAAAAATTCGAGAGTATGAAAAAAAAGTTGTAAAAAATATATTTTCTTCAACTAGTCCATAGTTCATACATAATATTTTTAAATTATTAGATTTTTAAAAAATCAGCTATTTCTGCAATTTTAAAAACATTAATGGATAACTTGTAACAAAAAAAAAATGTATAGTGAAACACTATTGTGAGTATTTTTACTAAAATCACATAAAATTCATGCCTTTAGACTAGAACACCCCCTTAAGAAACAATTCATCGTTTTCTTTCTAATACAAAACATATTAACAAAAATATTTTTTTTTAAAGTTTCTTGTTTTTCTCCAAGCCGATATAAGTTGTATACCATAAATTTAGATGAGTAATTTTATAAAGAATCATGACTAGTACGTGAATATATTTTAAATATAATGATTTTTTGGATGCACTGTGATAGAGAGCTATACTAAACACAAGCTAAACTCTAACACATATAGATCAATAAACAACATATCGAGATAGATTTAATTTTTCAAAAATCTAAAATTAATTTTGGTACGACGCCACATTCGATAATAACTTAAATATTTTTACAATTCCAAGTAAAACAACTTTGTCGAATGCTGATGAATTTATGGCAAAGTTTAAATGATCCAAGTAACTTTGTGTTAGAAATTAATTAAAAACTTGTATGTGTATATCATATATAACAGTGAACATTCCTTAACCGAAATTATGATCTATTGTTGATATCTATTAAGGTAGTAGCACTATCAATACCTGAATCTTCGTCACCGCTATTTGTGGAACCAACATCACTCAGAAGTAATTCCTTATCGTTGGTTTTAACCGTATCTAAAGTCTGTTTTAACACATTCAATGCATTATGTAATTCATCATCTGTTTTTGTTATTTCTTGCTCACTAATTATTTGTTTATCGATTTCATCATCATTATTTGTACTAATCAGCGCTGCTTCTTTGTCTCTTACATTTAAGGGTAGTTTTAAAGTACTTTTTGTATGGCACAGGGTTCCTAAGTTATCAATATTATTAAAATCTTTATTCTCCTTAACCCTCCCATTAGTTTCCAACAAAATTTGAGTATCATCGTAATTATTACCGCTTTCGTTCGTATCAATATCAGAAAATTTCATGGATTTGTTAAAATTATCAGTATTTGGCGTGATTTCAATTCCGCTATCTGGAGTAGCAAAGTCACTCCTGGACAACTTGGGTCCATCGGTGTTAAATTTCAACGTAATCTGACTATTATTAGAATCTGGAGTATCGGGCGAAATGAAACTAGTTACTTCTTCATTTCCTTGATTCCAATCGGAATCTACTCCAAATTCGAACAGATTTTGATCATTAAATTCGTACATTTGCTCACCTCCAGGCATTGGATTCAGGGAAAACTGGTCTTCATCGTCGGGTTGTAATCCAGGACTTTGTGAGTCGCCAAATTCGGTTGTTGAATTTAACAAATCTTCAGAATCGAAGGGATTGTTGCTGGTTGATTCCTCGGTTTCCCAGTTGAATTGCTCCGTGGTCGTGTCGAAGTCTTTTGTTGGTTCTGAACTTGTTGGGTAAAATTCGTACTCGTTGAATGGCAGTGTGGTTGAAGTGACGAAGAATCTATCAAAACCTGGAAACAAGAATATATAATATTAAATACACAATACACACGAACAGCCCTAAATTTTTACCCTCTTATCATAAATCCTTGTCGTAAAATTCATTTTAGTGATCGAATAATTTTTTATCCCGCACGCAGTCGATGTTTTTAACTTTATTTTAGCTCAGTTTTTTTTTGAGTTTATGGAAAACCTTAAATTTTATTTAAAAATAAACAATTTATTTTTATAAAACGTTGTCCAAACCCTAACATTTTTTTTTAATTTTGAGGTTTATTGAAAAATACAATAAAGCTCACAAATTTTCACCACAAATCCTCATTTAATAATGATAATTTTAGTAGTCGTATCATTTTGCATAAAGCTCGATACCTGACAAATTATCGCGTTTTTGGTGAACGTTTCTCATTGAATTTTAATCAAGATTTTTCTGAGTTTACTGAAAAGCTTAAATTTATCCGATCTATGCGTTGAAACATTTTCAAAACAATTCTTATTGTTAGATATTGGCGACGGAAAGGTCACCATTAATAAAACTAGATAATCGATCGATTTTTGCATAATCTGATTTACAGGATTACCTCATTATACAAATATTTCTGTATGTGCTCAAATAGTTCATAAATGGCTTGCAAATAGAACAAAAATATTATAATATGAAGATATAACAAGGAACTAGGTACAAATCTCTGGAAAAGTTGTAAATTTTTCAATGGCCGTTGAAAATTGTAAATTTCTGTTAGAAGGGTGAAAATTTTAAAACAACCTTCGAAAAAACAAATTTTTTAAAAATATTTTTTCATGTTTAAAAAAGTTAGCCGGGCCAGCTAGTATATATTATTTTAAGGAATTTCTATTAGATAAAAGATAACCGTGACAAAATAGAAATTTCTGTTAGGAGGGTGAAAATTTTGAAACAACCATTAATAAAACAAAATATTTTAAGTTAAATTTAAGTTTATTTACTCGAAGAACTCGAGAAAATCATTAAAAATGCTGTAAAAAATATTTACTGACTGAAAACAGGGATAAAAATCACTAAATAGGGGTTTGTGACTGGAGGATGAAAATTTAGGGCCATCGATAACGCATTTAAAAAGTTTTAATATCTGTATTCAATCATTGTTTTTGTAATTTGCAGATACTCAATGATGGCACACATTAAGTGTCGAAACGCATAAATAAATAATTAAAAAATAATTTACCATTTTTAATTCAATGAATTATTCGATTATATAAAATTAAAAAGATATTTCAAGAACAAAAATTATTGCGTTATTAACCCTTTCCACTCGCGAATTGCGAGATATATATGTATTTTAGCGCCGGAGCGGCGGGATCCGAGTGGAAAGGGTTAAAGTTGCTATTAAACTTTACCAAAATAATCAATATTTAGTTTTCAATATTACCTAGAAGTAATTTAATATATTTTTTCTACTCACACAAAACAGGTCCATTAGGTGCATAAGCTAGGCTATTATCATACATCGGCTCAATATACGAACAGTGTTCCTGCTCTCTCGGGTACTCGTACACAGATAAATATTTTTCTTTTTTAAACACAACAGATTTCCCTTCTCTATTACCCTGGATAACAGATTAATCATAGATTATTGACACCTTTATTAATAAATAAATCATGAAGTATTGAAGCTGAAAACATTTGCCACAAACATAATAATACATGCAATAATAAAAATATGAATCAGCAAAAAATTTGATAAAAAGCATGATTGAAAATAAGCACTGCAAAAAAAATGTAATGTTAACAAGCATAAAATGGGTTACAGCAAAACAACAAAAAGTGCTTTTCAATATGATCGTATATTTACAAAAATATAAAATTTGTATAATAAAACAAGAATATGATTAAGTTCATATATGTGGATGCTTAGCATCAAACAATTTTAACAAAAAAATATATAAATGCAAATTAAATATAAGAACTACTTCAGGTAACAAAAAAGTGCATTTATATCTGATTAACATTTAAATCAAAAATCATCTTGAACACTTCTAAGGCACTTGTTAACAAATTATATTATGTATAAAAATAGCTAAAATCACTTTGAATTAATTAATAATAAATAATGAAACTTAACAACAGTGAGTGCAGCACACTTGTGTGCAATTAATATGTTTTTATAAATAGTGTATGAAATTTATGAAAGCATTAATGAATGAATGAAAATATTATTAACATTCATCAGAACTTACTGTATTATTTTCAGGGCTTTTCAAAGACGATCTTGAAGGAACCGCAGACGAGTTCCAAATAGAAGGTATAAACTCAATCTCCTCACTTTCATCACTACTCTCATCATCATCATTATCATACTCCTGATTTTCATCATAGTTTTCCACAGAAATTTCCGGTTTGCCATCACCATTCACCGTATCATCGGTCAACGTAGTGTCCAAATTGACTTCATCAGTGTCATTCGTACCATTTTCAATATCGTTTTTAGAAGTGTCGATTTGAACATTGTTGGTGTTGGTGTTGGTCGTTTCAATTTGTTCGTTTCCAGATTTCCATTCGAATTCTTCGCTCGTGTCTTCGCTCTCGCAACCCGTGTCGTCGTCCAAATTTTCGTTGGGCGAACTTTGGTTGGAGTCTTCTTGTTGGCGTCCAAATTTCGATTGGACGCATTCGTTCGTTTGCGGACTTGGCATCGGAGATTCGGAGCTGAAGGAGGTGGTCATTATATCGCTTTCTGGAAAAATAGAAAAAATAAAAATAAAGATTTATATTTAGTAGAAGTAGAATTAATTAAGATATTAATTACTAGAATTTAGATATTAATTACTAGCTGTACCTGCGAAATGATTTCGTTCGTGCGAAACTTAACAAAAAACTTAAAACTTTTAACATTTTTTTTATTGTCATTTATTATCAGTTTTTTTATATTAGCTTCATTGAACTAATTTTTTATATACAATATTTGATGTACAATCCATTTCTTGAAGAGAGATTTGATTTTCTTTTAATAGACCCATAATTAAAAATTGAAATATCAAGCCATAAATACTTATTTTAGTGGAAAACAACGAAGCAAATGTAATGACTTAAAAATGATTGATAATTTCAAGATAAATTTGTATATTGAACACAAATGTACTTAATTTATAATTCCCGTAGGGTGTTATTGTAATCGTCCAAAATTCGTAATTGAAAATCTTTACATATCTTCACGTTTCAGAGGTTTCTGAACATTTAGCATACCTCAGAAAAATGGATGTGTGTGTATGTATGGATACAATTTTTCGTTCACGTTTTCGGGCGCACGGATCAACCGCTTTGAATGGTTCAAAAAACATTCGATTCATATTGATAGGGATATGTGCTAATTAGTTTTCGGAGAAGACAGGTCTAGCCGTTTCGGAGATACGGAGCAAAGAGTGCAGAAAATGGAAATAGAGTTTTTAACAGAACGTAGCATCCGATTTCAATGATTAAAAAAACGAAAAAGAAAATATTTCGAATTTAACTTTGGTACTCAGTTAACATAATTCTTATAAATATTAGAAAAAGTCCTTCATTTTAAATTTGATTGATGAAGTTGTGTTTATTTACTTTCATTATCTATTTGAAAACGTTTAATATTTCTTGAATATTTTGTTTCGGTACGCGAAGTTCCAGCAATTTGCCTTAAGGCACGATGCCATTCACCACTAGAAATTATTTAAAATTACAAAAAAGCATAAAAATGTAACTCAATTAGCTTAAACAGACAGACGGGCAGACAAAATATTTAAAAAGTATTAATTTGGTAAATGTACCCTATCATGATCTCATGTACAGATTAAATAACGGGTATTGCAATATTACAAACAAACACTACTTTATTTATATAATATAGATGTACAGATAAATTTTTATATTTATTGTATACAAGTTATATAATTTTTCTTATCTTGAATACGATATAAATTGTGTCTATGATGTCACCTAAAAAACTTGGATTAGGGCACCAACCTGATAATTTAAATTTCAACTTTAAGATATGTGTAAATGATCTAGGCCGATATGTGTAATAATCTAAGGAACCTAATTTTCCAAAAGTACATTCGACAAATACTTAAAGTTTCATAATTTTAACAAAACGTGAAAATAATTATTAAGTATGCCTTCTACATACAATTTTTCAAAATTTGGTCTCAAACTATTAAAAATGATTTTAAATGTTGAGAAAACAAAAATAAAATTTGCAAGTCGGATTTTTTGGCAAAAACCAACTTCTCCTTCTGGAAGATTATAATTTAAGTATTTCGTGAGAATTAGTTAAAAAATGAAAATATGCTACAAGTGCATACTAAACTGTAGTGCAAATTATTATCGTCATCCAAGTAACGTCTTCTTAGATAAACTACTAAAATAATGTTCTATAATTGCATGTCATAATTAATTTAATATTATTCATCGACGCACCTTATTAAAAAAACAAATACAATTACCAAGTCTTTGATAAAAATTATCAATTCAAAAATAAATTTGAGGAAAACCAGTTGAATTCAGTACTATCCAGTAAACGATGACTATAAAATTTACAAGTATCTACTAAAGTATCAATTATATTTTTGATACATTAAAATTCAATTCAATGTAGATAAAGCAGTAAATTTGTAACAACTTTCGAGATACTTATTGAAATAAATTTTAAAATAAATACGAATATCGAAAGCAGTGATTTGTAACCTTTTTGTACCTGTGTGGTCTTTACAAAATAAAATTGTTGCGCTCCTTTAATTTTTCAAATGATATTACAATTTCGTCAATTTTTTGTTATAATTTATTTTTGTTAATCAATAAGACATTAAAGTTTTATTTACAAAATTGATATGTGCAAAAAAAAGAAAAAATACAATAAATTGAATATAAAATGAAAAAAAAATTAAATTAAAATAAAATAAAACAATAATACAAAAATACTAACATAAATGAACTATGACGTGATGATGTATACCGAATTTCGTCATTGTGCAACAATATAATATCCTGCATAATGTATTAATATTAATAATTATTTATTATGAAAAATCATAATTCCCACTATAATAAAAACAAGTCTCAAATAAAAAGGAATACATATATAATTATTTATGAATAAAAATTTTATGCGACAGATAAGGTGTTTTTCAACAAATGTGCGGCAAGAATGTATATCATGTATATTTATTTTGCTGATTCATTTTCTGTTGTTTGTATTTGAAAATGATATTTTGAAAACAGTTGCAAAGATGGAAAACTTACCCCACAGGTTGTACACCACTGATCAAAAGAATTATATTTTTTTAACATGACTCGTGCCTTAATAACGTGATGGATTTTTAAGGATTTTTGGACCCTCTTGGTGGCATTATTTAAAATTAACCCCCTCCCCCACCTAACATCAAGAGTATTTTTATGACCCAGAAAAAACGTAATTTTCTTTTTTATAAAATTTTGGATTATTTTCAGGTTAAAAACAAGTACACCTGATATCTTACTAGAACTCTCCATGTAATATTTCGTGATTTTTTGTCAAACCCCTTTTAAACCTTACGAGATCAATTAAAGTTCATTGATCAAAACAATGATGGTTGGAAGGAAAATTTGTAATAATTTTCCAAATACTATCTAAAAATCTAAACCAACTGTTTCTCTCTATGGTTCAAGAAAGGATTTCTATAAGTATATTTATAATGTTTAGTAATATTTATAATTACCTGAAAATTTGATGTTCGACGAAGTCCAAGGATCGTTCTCACCATCTAAGTTAAACAAACATTGTTGAATGACTACTCTCGCCTGATCAGCGCTAATTTCGAGACTGCCCTTATCTTCATCTTCATTGTTATCACCTGAGGAGAGATATGGAAAATATTGTTCACAAAAATATATCAAGCGATTAGATAAAAATTAAATAAAACTATAAATGTTTTCTTTAAAATTAAGACCCGTCGTATCAATACAAACGTGGAATTATTTGTTTGATTGCTCGATAAAATTCAAACGAATTTTTTTTTTTTAGAACAACAAAAATATTTACACAAAATCTGAATAATCCGAATTAATTAATTGGCACATGCAAATCGCACGTGTATAATATATAGATACATTTTATAAGTAAATTTGGACTAGTTGAAAGTGGCATTTTGCCTTGAGGCATGTTGCATGAACTTCCCGATACATATATATATATATTTATATATATATATATATATATATATATATATATATATATATAATGAATTGAAATTCGTATATTTAGGTAAAATGTTCAACTGTAATTCCGAAAATAAAATTCTAGCTTTCATTAAAAAATAATCAATATAATTTTCAATTTATATCTTTCAAACTTACTTATATTATCTGTAATTTTATAAATTAATTTGTTTAACACATTTCATTTAATCGATTTCATGTTCTGTAAATGTAATTTTTGAATCAAGTCAACTGCAATCAGTAGCTACCTACAAAATACGTACTTACGCTCGGCATAGATTCTGATTAGAATCTCTCAAGCGCGCGAAATTTGAAACTTTAATGATTTTTTATAATTGAACTGCTTATCGTAGGCCTATAATATTTTGTTATTCATATTACAAAATCTATAGTTATACAAAGATTCGATAAAAACATATGAAAAAATTCCACAAATAATTACGAAGAAGCGGCCCAAAGATTTCCAAAGCAATATCATTCCAACTGTTTTTGATTAAATCAATTCAAAATTGTGGGCTAAGACGTAAAAGAAAAGTTTTACATTTTTCTGCTAATTACAAAAAAACGGCTCGGCCGATCATTACAGAAAACTAATAAATACTAGTCCTTATCAAGATACATCAAAGGGCTTTTAGATTTCCTAAATCGGTCCAGCAGTTTTTGAGAAAACGACGACAAAAAGTCAAAATCGTCTCTCTCTTCCACACACACACAAAAGTTTAATTAAGAGTGAGAATTATAGCATTCTAGATCCTCCCCCCTTCAAGTTATATTTAAAGGCGGTTTCCGTGAAGACAAGAATAAAAGATAAGCAGAGGGGTTAGTTGGTATTATTGAGTCTAACATACCCAGACAAAAGACCTAGTCTGGTACGAGTAAATGCATTTCCTTCGCTATACAAGAAAAAACGAGTGATGCATGGCATCGTGCCTTGAGGCAAATTGCTGGAACTTTACAAAACTTTGGAAAATTTAGATTTTTGAGAAATTTTGAAATTTTTGAAGAAAAAATCGACTTTTTTGAAAATTCTGATCATTTTTTTTAAACAATCGCGCTGCATAGCTGATTTGGAGTCGAAATTATCAAAGCGCGTAAGCGCCGCGTAGTCGTCTAACGTGTAAATATTGGTACGGAACCCATATAAATGTATACAAAATTTTTACTTCAAAAACAAAACCAAAATTCTCTACATTTTAAGTCAGAGTCTAATCTAACATTTTTGAGGTTGAACTGAATTTGCCATTAGTTTTTGAAAAAATCAAGCAACCAATTTTTCAAAATTCTAAATGACAAAATATCGAGGAAACATGAAATTTTAGCAGCAACTAAAGTTCAAAATTTCCAAAATATTTCAAAATAAAGAAAATATTTTGGAAGTTTTTTTCACAAAAATTCAAAATTTCTCAAAAATCTAGTTTCTTCAAAGTTTAAAAAAAAAATCTTTAAAAAAAATACTTTTGGTACGGGAAGTTCCAACAATTTTCCTTAAGGCACGATGCCATACACCATTAGTTTTTTCCTCAAATAATTCTTTTACTCACGTTGTAGCTCGTACTCTTGTCCAGACTGCGAAGACGACGTTAGAGTATCATAATCCTCACTATTTGAAGAAATAGTATCCTCATTTTCCTCTTCACTACAACTATTTTCATCATCATCATCATCATCACCATCAGCACCATCATACATACCACCATTTTTAAAACTCGAGCTACCGTTCAACTTTGTACCATTCACATCACAGTTATCATCAGCGATTGCTGGTAAAAAATTAAGTTTAGTATCACTTTTCTTAATCAAATACTTTTTAACAGGAGTGTTTTGCGATTTCTCTGCCAATGCTGATTGAAGTTGTGCGTTTGTGGCTATCGTACAGATACCAGATATATTTTCCTTCTCGTCGAAATTTTTGTCATTAGACAATTTTATCACATTAGTTGATAAATCTTTTGTACTACCATCAGGTATTTTGTATGTATCTTCCATGACCCTATTTACATGAAATATTTTTGGGTCTTTAGTATTTAGACCATTGTTAACGAGGAAAGGATCTTGCAATCCTAGAATTTTATCACAGGTTATTATGTTTTCTTTGTTCTGGATATCGTCAGATGAGTTAATATCTTGTGCTTTAATTGGCACTGGAATTCTTTCAGCCTCCAGCATGTTTGCACAAACTACAGAAATATTATTTGCGCAATTTTGATATTTTTTCTCTGCCTTTTCGGAAATATCAAATTGTACGCCGCTGTCTGAAATATTGTTAAAGCAGCTTATTAAATTTTGATCATTGGATGAATAATTAAGAATTTCATCTGCAGATTTTATCTGCAGATCTAAATTATCAGGCTCTAAGGTAACTTCATTTAACTCCGACTTATCTATAACGCCCTTATCGACATCATCTTGGGTAATAATTGGATGTTTCGAATCAAAATTTTCGTCATCTGTTACCAGAGTATCAGTTTTCTCTGGATCTGGATTCTTATTACCATCATTGTCTAAATCAGTAACAAGTACCACTTCTTTCGGCAAATCCTCCGTAAAAATTTGCTCCGCCGATTTATGGCAATTTAAATTGATTCCAAGATTTGTGCACGTTTCCAGATCTGTTTTCTCTTTAACCATTGCATTGTTAGACACATCATTCAAAATATTGACGTCCCCTGCACAAACTGGTTTGAAAGATTCAACTAAATCTTGAATCTCTAATACCTCTTCTTTGATTTCTTGTATTACTGGTGCGTCGAGTAAAATCGCATCTTTGTTAAAAATTTCTTTTGTATCACCTTTTAAATTTAATGTACTGTCAGGGTTTACTTGATTTTCTACAACAGAAAGATCTGGTACCACAGATTTGTTTTCTCCATCATCCTTATATTTATCACAATTTTCTTGCAAAGTTGACTCCTCAAAACCGGACACATCCGGCGAGTCCCCGCAAATCACATCCAATTTTCCATCAAAACTCCTATGTCTCTTCAATTCCTTCTCATCATCCATTATAGTCTTCAGATCCTGATGAATTAGATTCATTCCATTATCCAACTGTTTTTCACTATTATCTAAGTCTTGAGTTTCATCGTAGATGACAAAAGATGCTTTAGATTTATCCAAATCACATTTGAATTCTTCGCCTGTGATTTCTGCTGGTGAGGTGATCTTTTCCACGTCCAAGGCGTCTTCTACATTGAACAAGGTGTCGTTGGAGCACCAGGAACCCAAAACTTGACGAGGTTTGTCGCTTGTTAGAGCTGCACTTCTGTCACTGTAACTGGAAAAGAAACATAGGTAAGTGATATAAAATCTAATTGAAATTTAACCCTTTCCACTCGCTAATTCCGAGATTATATGAATTTTGCCGCTGGAGTGGAGGCATACAAGTGGAAAGGGTTAAGTTTTTGTAAAAGTATGATTAATGTTGAAATCTGTAAACAATTTTTTAGTTTAGTTTAACTTTTTAGGATGATTTTGGCCGTATGTTTTCATTTTATCAGAGGTCAGACTTTATTTTCAGTATAATTTAAATTAAAATATCCACCTCGGATTAGCGAGTGGAAAGGGTTAATATGTGTATAAAAGTTATACGATTGCCTAAATGCAATCTGTACCTGCAAAATGATCGCATTTTGATTATGGCAGCATCCTATTCGTTATTTCAAATATTTGTTTTTTTTTTATTTTTCATAATTTTAATTTACAAGAATGTCACAGCCATGAGTATTCTTAAGTTCTGCAATTTTTAATGCAGTCTATCACTGAACACATCTTGCAAAAAATATATTTAACTTATGTATAATTTATATCATTGTAATTTTGACATGTAGACTAAATTTGTTTTCTTATAATAAATTTGATTGATTTATACAAAAACAAAAAACCATTATATTTAAATCACCTAGAAAGTAAAAGAAACTGGACATGAAATAAGCAACTCAAAAGCCAAAAATTGTAAGTTGCATTACAAAATTAATTTTTATATTAATTGGTTTAAAGTTTACCTTGTACTATCTCCCAGGGTGTCGTTTATGATGAATGTTTTACACAAACTATCCGATGAAGATAGTTTTTGATCATTCATTTGATCCTGATGGGATTTATCATCGTCGTTTTCTCCTACCCAGTCCTCCATAATTGGGCTTAGTGGACCGGCAGCATTATATCTAAAAATAGAAAAAAAATTCCAAATTATTATAAAAAAATCAATCCAAAATTTATAAAATTTAGAAAAGTATAATTTGGCATCATCCGCAAAAGTCCAATAAAATAATTAATCATTTGAACGACAACTGAAATTAGGTTCCAATTAATACCAAAACTCGTCGATTTTAAATAAATTTACTACAAAATATAAATATATTTGAAAAAAAAGTTTTGTTCTTATATTATAAAGTTTTTTTTTAATATTTATGAAGTATTTTCTCACACAAAGTTGAGTAAAAGTATTTCTGCTTGAATAAAATATATCAGGGTGATTCCTTATTGTTGGTTGACCCATGAAATAGCACAACACAACCCACAAACTCAAATTATAATAAACTTATTTGAAAATTGTATCACACTATCAATTTCAATCGAAAATATATCGTTCAAAAGATATTAGGGATGATTCTGTTAATATTCAATTATTTAAAATTTAATTTTCATTGACCCACGTAATTTCCATGGTCGCCCCACATTCGACAATATTTAAAAACCAATATTGATTCATTGATATCACTACTGCTTGATATCAAGTTTGTCAAGGTGGGTATTGAACTCGAAACCGGTGGTTAAGAAAAAATTATAATATTTCTTCTTAAGAAATATCTATTACATAACAGAATAACAGAAATTTCTGGTACTTCCACATATTTGTTTGCTCCATAAACTTCATGTCCATATTGTACAATTATATAATTACATCACTGCACTATTTGAAAAGAAACAATCATGTTCTTGAACAAATATCAGTTTTTTTTTTTATTTTGACTCTTTCGAAGTATTTTGTTTGAATTTTTGCAAAGTATTTCTGCCTGAGAATTAGTGTCGGTAGTAGAAGTATTAGTAGAATGAGTCATGCAGATTAAGAAAAAAAATAAATTCTTAGCACCTATTAAGCAGTAGGTTCTAATTACATGTCAATTTGCTAATTAGTTAATTAAGATTAATAATAAAACAAACAATCTTTGTTGACAAAATATCGATAATTGCAATATTATGTCAACAACCAACACGACTGGTAAGCAATTCGTATGGAAAACAAGTATTGAATTTGAATAAAAATCATTTTGCATAGATTCTTAAGAAACCAGATTTTAATATAATTGTAAATGTATAATATTAATTTCAATTTGATCATTCAGGGTTTGTCGATTTTAAAAACCTTTTTTTTTAGTGAAAAAACCCGAACAGTTTAGACTTTCTTATCTAATAACGCGAACAAAAATTGTTGTGACGCGCCGACCAGCTCAGCTATAACGACATGCTCACGCGCAACAGCGGATCTCTAGGATCTAATCAAAATTTCTGCGGTTAAACTAATCAGTACGTTTCCATATCAATACGAATCGAATGTTTTTTGAATCATTCAAATCGGCCGATTTGTTATCTCAGAAGCTGCCATTTTTTGCACTTTTTGCTCTGTATCTTTGAAACGGCTAGACCTGCATTTGCGAAAAACTAATCAGCACGTCTTTTTATCAATACGAATCGAATGATTTTTGAATTATTCAAATCGGTTGATCGGTGTTCCCGTAATCGTCGACGAAAATTCTTATCCGCACACCCGCACACTACATACACACACACGTTTTTCATAATATTCAGAAGCCGTTGAAACGGAAAGATATACAAAAATTTTCATTTTCGATTTTTTTGCGATTACTATAACTTACCCTACGAAAAGTTAAAAAATAGAAAATGTCAAATGTACCAGATTTATGAAAACACCATTGCAGATCGATTGCAATCCTTACTTTCATTATTATAAAAATATTTACACATTTATATGTAAAAATAATACATAAACAACAGATAATTAATTATTATTAAAATCATTCAATCTTGGCCAAATATTACTTTTTTCTTCTACTAAATTGGATAAAAAAATTTGATCAATAAGATTGAACAGTAAATAATTTAAGTCAAAAACTGCTTTTATCACTCGAAATTTTTTGTCAATTTTTTTTAATCGAATAGTCTTATAGAAAAACTCGAAGCCGTTTAAACCGTTTTTCAAAAACCAGTTTTCTAAAATGTCAATTTTTGTATAAACCCTAACTGAGCTCGCATTAAAAAAAGTACAAGTACAAAAAAAATACAGCAAGACTTGTAGTACTATTAAAATTTACAATTATAAGATTCTAATGAAAATTATAAATTATTCTATATAATAGTTTATACAGATTGAAAGCAATCCATAGTACTTCATTTTAAAATTACAGTTCTTAAGATTAATTTTTAAACACTCACAATATTTCACACATGATGTTTTTCACGATTTCAACACAATAACTGTATATTTTATCATGATCAGTATACGATATGAAATGTGACAAAAGGACAAACAGATGGGTGAAAACTCATCCGTGTCGAAAAGGTCAATGATCATTATTAACCTTAGATAAACTATAAGAAATGTAATATTCTATAAGGTCAATAAACAGTTGCGCAAGTCCTAGTAATTTAATATAAATAAAATTTCTATCGCGCACCTGATATAAATTTCGTTCCTTTCCTCCGACGTGCCGCCGCCTTCATTTTCCGGAACCGAAAAATAATCAGGAAACGGAAAACTGGTCGAGGAACCACTGAAACCAGCTTCCAGGACCCCTAAAATATTCCTCTTCTGCGACTGCACATTGTCTGGTGTGTTTTGCGCAGATTTGGTTCCGCTCTCGTAATCGCTGGTGTCCTCCTTGGTCCTCGGGCCCTGGTACAAAAAACGAACTAAATCATTGAGATGGCTCAAGAATAAGTAGAATATTTCCAACATGTCTAAAATTAAGAGCTAATTAATGTATGTGCACTAATCAAATTAAACCTCGACGCATCTGTGAAAAACATGAGTCAGTGCGCGTGCGTTATATTCGAAAATAAATTATATGGCTGCAGTTTATTGAGTAGTTTCCTAATTAGATGTCCTAAAATAAGTCAATTAATTGATAGAGACGATTAGTTGATATCTGAAGAGATAACTTTACAATAGAAATTGACCTAAATTTCGCGTTAAATTTTTTTCAAAATTTATAATACTAATATGAAATACTAACTAACTGACTACTGAGTTACTAACATGATTGTATTCTATTCAATAAAAAAAATTACTAACATGATTGAATTATATACTGCGTGGATCAAAGATGTGGACTAGACATTGCCAAAAAAATATATATACATTTGAAAAGAAAAAACAATTTGGAAAAATTGTTTGTGAAAAACCTGGATGTGACCACAAATGATTCATGGAAAAACTGAAGCAAAAACTGAGACTCTGAAGAGAAAATACACGTGCTAAAAAGGTAATTATTACTACTAATAAATATGATTTATGATACAGAATTTTTATTTCACGATTTGTTTATATAAATGAATATAATTAAGTACCACACGTGTCTATTGTCCACGTTTTTATTCGACTTTGTTTATCCGTTAAATTTTATTATTATGAAATAATTGTATTATTACAATTAATTACCCAAACTCGAATATCAAAATGCTGTTCCTATAACAAATAAAATTTGTTATGAAATACTAAGAAGCCGAGTAGTAATTTAAAATCACCGCATTTTTAGTTATCATAAATAGCCATTTTGTATACAGATGTAAGACAAATTACACATTTAAAATTTTAAATGTTTTTTTCGAGAATAATGAACTCTTATAAATCTTCGTAAGCCTATAAATTTTTAGATCATGAACTCTAACTATTAAAAAAATAAATAGAATTTATGTTACCAGATTTATAATTTTGATGTTAAACGATTTAGAATGACTTCAAACATAAAAAAAATAAAATTAGCAAATTCGATTTTCTGTCAAAAAAAACTTCTTCGGCAGGTTAATAATAACAAATAAATTATAGCAAGATATTAAAAACATAATTAATTTTTATTAATTGATAATTATTTAAATTAATTATTAAAAAATGTATAAAATGCACTTTATCGATGAAATGTTTATAATTGATATAAAAATATTGATTGTATGAATCAATCAAATAACAATAAAGAAAAAACAACAATGCTAAAAGAAATATTAAAGCAATATGTTCATCAATGCCAGGATGTTTGTTCAAGAAACAAAAATTTTGTCACCAATCCCGCTTACTAAAGAATTCAATATAATTTTGAACAATAATAATAATAAATCATTGTTCAAATAGCGATTTAAATTATTTATTAAACAAATGTGTAAAAATGCACTTCATCGATCAAAGACGTAGAATTGATAAAATTGAATAAATGATTCATATATTTTTGACAATTTACCTTTCAAAAAAAATAACAATTTATATTTAAAAAAATAATCAAAATTATTTATAATGAATATAAGATTAATAATGATGAAGTAGAAGCAAATATAATAAAAATGAAAACAAAAAAATCAATAAATAACGTTTCTAAAAAAAACTCGTTTTTGTCGTTTTTTGGACAGCGCTCACAGAATCTTAATATAAATGATTCTTTTTAATTAACATTTTAACACAGTCTCGTAACAAATTCGTTTCAATCACAAAACTTTACCTCGTGTATGTTATGAACAACTACTAGATGTAACGAGTTTCAGTCATTAATTCAAGTAAAACAATTTATATAATATTGCCATTATTATTTCTTCATATCTGATCTTTAACCGATGACGTAATTCAAAGAAGCAAGCAAGTGTGAGAAAGCCAAAGCCAAGTAATTCCTCAATTAAACAAATCAGATACAGCAAATTGCTGGCCTCAGGCCAAAAAACAGGTAAATTCCTATCACGATTCCTGGGATAAGAGTTGGGAGACTGAATGACGGGCAAATAGAAATGAAATACAATATTATAAATCATACATTTCATACAAATTGAGATTCAGCTATTTAAATAAAATGAACATAATTGTTATTTGGAAATAAAATTTTCGCTATTGCTAAAAATTAATGAATGTCATTTCCTATTGATGTCTTCTTTCAAACATACTTAAAAATATTTAATATTTACTATTGACGCCAACACAAAATTTTTGAGAAGGCAGGTCCAGCGGTTTCAGATTCATTGGAAAAAGTAAAAAATGCCATTTGGCGGCCAAAAATTATTTGTAGACATATGCACATCAAATTTTCAGATATTTATAAAACATAGTACATATGATCGGTGTAGATTCTGATTAAAACTTACCATAGGCCTATAATATTTAAGAATGTTATCTCAGAATTAGTCTACGAAATCTATCGTCGTACAAAGTTTCATCAGATTGAACAAAAAAAACAACCCAACAGATCTTTACAAATTATAAAAAAAACAGTCGATATCAAGTCACATCGAAAAGTTTTAAAATGTCTAAAATTGGTCCAGCCGTTTTATATCACAAAGACGAAAGAGAGCAAATTGCACCAAATAGGAGAAATGCATAATTAAGAAAGATAATCATAGCATTCTAGATCCTCCCCCCTTGAAGTAATACCTAATGGCGATTCCCGTTGTGACAAGGGGAAAGAAAACCTGCACATACTTGTTCCAAATTTAGTCTCGTTCGATTCAGAATGACTTGAAACGTTGAGAAAACGTAAACTTTGTGCTGTCTAACAATCAGTCTTTGTAGCCTATCATACAAAATATATCGTCGTGCAACGTACAAAAAACAACGCAACAGATCTTTACCAATTGAAAAAAAAACAGTCGATATCGAGTCTCATATAATAGTTTTAAAATTTCTAAAATCGGTCCAGCCGTTTTTTAAAAAACGTCGACGAAAACTCAAAAATCGGCTCAACATATACATACAAAGGAGAGCGGATGGCACAAATTAGGAGAGAGAAGTATTCTAGATCCTCCCCCCATACCTAACAACGATTCCTGTGGAGACAAGTAGGCAAGAAAAAAACTAGACATATACATACACACATACTTATTCCAGATTTGATCTCATTCGATTCATAATGGAACGTCCATTAATCACGTGACCGATTTTTAAGGATTTTTGGATTTTTTAGTCTCAATTGATTTAGAATAACATCACAAATCGCAAAGACATAAAATTAGCAAATCGGATTTTTCTCAAAAGCAAACTTCTCCGGGAAGTTTGAAGTGTGATCGGTTTAAAATTCTGCTAGAAAACATATCTGCTATAAATTTTAAATTATCATAATTAAATGTGATAAAACTAACTATGAGCAGTATACTTATACTATTACAATAAATATGAATCTTCTTACCTGAGCATCCGGCAAGGATAAAATCAACGCCCTCCTAATCTCTGCCAACTTGACGCTATCCTGCTCCTCGTCACTATTGGTAGAATGAAATTTAAGATCTGAATCTGTTGTATCAGAAGACGACGTTTCTTGATATTTAATATTCTCTTTATTATCATCAGTATTTTCCGAAAGATCCTTAAACGACGAGTCGCTCGTCGTATCAGCTGGTGGAACCAAGAAAAATTCATCGCCCGTAAGATTTTCCAAATCCTTAATCTGGATTTTTTCATCCTTGGAACTTGATGAATTCAAGTCTTTATCGCAATCATCGAAAACAGAGTCATCGTCTTCGTTATTACGTTCGAAACTGTCGCCTAAGAATTTATCCCAGGATTCCAAATTGATCTGCCCGGTTTTTAGGAAGTCGTAATTTGGTTTTCTGGGTGATTTTTTAGGACTTTCTGATAAACTGGTCTTTTTGTGTTTCTTAGAAGGCGTGCTTGTTTTGAAGGAATCGATGTCTATAATTTTTGGATCTATTTCAGGACTAGGAGTTTCATCATTGAACCCAAGGCTGAATGTTCTGTTTAAAATTGTAGGTGTGTTTCTGGTATCACTATTTGTTCTGAATACTTGTTCATCAAACCCCGAATTTTGCTCCAGTATTTGTTCTACGGAATCATTTTTAGATAAAAAAGATCCATCACTTTTTTCTGTAGTTTTTGATGTTGCAATTGGAGAAGTTTCATGTTGCGTATTTGATTCATCAGAAGATTCTGTAGATTTTAATTTATCATCAGAAACATCAGGAACAGATGAACTGGTATCATTTTGGACCGGAAGTTTTGCATGCTCCAAAGAAATTGTTCCTAAGTGTTCATCTTTACAACTTTCATTGTGCTTTAGTGATGTCAAATTGTGCAATTTGTCAATTAAGACAATTTCTTGATCCATGCCACTGGATACTGATTCTTTATTTGAATCAGGATCAGGATCAGAAGTACATTTGGCATCATTTTGAACCGGTAGTTTTGCATGCTCCAAAGAAATTGTTCTAAGTGTTCATCTTTACAACTTTCATTCCGTTTTGGTGATGTCAAATTTTGCAATTTGTCTTCAGCAGAATCATATGGTTCTTTTGTGTTTTCAGTTACTTTACAGACGATTTCTTGATCCTTGCCACTGGATACTGATTCTTTATTTGAATCAGAAACACCAAAATAATCAGGATCAGAAGTACATGTGGTAACATTCTGAACCAGATCCAAAGAAATCGTTTCTGAATTTTCACCTTTACAACTTTCATTGTGTTTGGGTGATGTCAAATTTTGCAATTTGTCTTCAGCAAAATCACATGGTTCTTTTGTGTTTTCACTTACTTCACAAACAATTTTTTGATCCGTGCCAGTAGATAATTTATTTGGATCAGAAATACCAGCACAATTATTAATTTCAGGTGTAATGTCTGAAGAAATATTTATATCACTAACCACAGAATTGTGGTTTTCTACATTTTTGTGACTTTCTTCTTTGTGATCAACAATTTCTTCACCAACATGAATTTTTGTTGAATCATCAGCCAAATATATATTTGAAGTTGCTTCCTCAGGATTTAGGCTTTCTGATGATATGTTTGAAGTATTCTTTACAAACTTGTGTTTTTCCTGGTTATCTTGAACGTTTTTTGCTTCAATATCACAAATAATATCTTTGCTAACATTAGTGTCCACATTAGTTGAAACTACATCTTTAACTTTTATGATGTTTTGGGGTTGCCCAGATACAGTTGATAAAATATTAGGATGTTCATTTTCTTTGTTCAAAATCCGTGCACTTACCATTTCATTATCGAACTCATTATCACAATTTACTTTCTCATGAGAAGATACAGTTTGTTCACTTAGTAAATTACCAGTTTCTGATTTCTGAACAGTTTCCTTATTAGGAGTTTTTGGAAGATCATTACTTTTTAGTACGGCAATATTATCACTTTCAGGTTTTTGTTTCGTTACCACATTTTCATTATCACAGTTTTTATCATCATTAGACTGATCCAGTTTTTCCAAACTTTTAAAATGATCATTGTTAAACTCCAGTTGCACCTCGGCCAGCGACGAACAACTTCCAGAATCACAGTCACTTTCCCCGCTCAAAACACTTTCTAGACACCTCAACGCCTCGTTGACATCATCTCCCGCACCTGCAGTTTCCAAAAACCTATCATTCGGAGATTGATTTACAGATTGGACAACACCGGCGTTTGAAGAATCTCCAAATGATTTCGTTGTTTGATCATCATTACTGATCTGATTTGTTGCACCTGAAGTACTAGGAACACTTGATAGGTCAACAAAGTTCTGATTAAAATTGATAAAAGCATTACCAGCATTCTGGTGGTTTTCTGAAACCATGTTAAGATTCTGGTTAAGAAAAAGTTCATTCTGATTCTGAATATAACCTTCTGCATTGTTGTTGGCTATATTCTGAATATCCAATTCAGATATCGGCCCATTATTATTATCATTCTCCATATGATCATTGGTTACTATATTTATTATAGCATTGCTAATTATTTGCATATTGCTTCTAATCGAAGCAATATTATCTACTACAGGCCTAGGAGCTTCAATGTTGACCGCATGTTCTGGTGATACAATCGGTTCGTCTATCATAAGATGGTTGTTTTCATTGGAAATTTGGCTAACTAAACCTGAGTTTGAAGATTCAATATTGTTATGAGGTAATACGGGGCTGTCTGGATGTTTCAGTGGTGTTACTTCAGATTGGTTTTCACCGGAACCGTTTTGAGATGCCTGGTTTTGGTTCAATGGACGGAAAATTGGAAACGGGGATTCAGCATTGACGGTGTGAGTGGCAGAACCTGGCTCATTATTGAACTCCTGGGGAAATAAATAATAAAAAATACAATTAATGATATATATATATATATATATATATATTGAGTTTAAAAGTCGGACGTTACATCAAAAATAATATGGGAATTTTTAATTTTAATAAGTTGTCAAAACTATGTATTGACTATTCAAAGTCTAAGATAGAAATGTCACGTTTTTTCTTAAAGCAGTTCTTAACATACGTTCAAATTTTGCGAGAAATTTAAAAGGCGATGGGATCTTGTCATTTTTTAAGGAATTTTGACACGCTATTTAAGAACCACGTGTTTGTTTCGTTCACGGCCGTGTTGTCGAATCGTTTGTTTATGACCCTGTCGTTATGCAATTGCAAAAACGACCCCTCAGCGAATCTTCTTTTAATTAAGTACTCTTCAAAATGTAAAATTTTTGAATTGAAAAAATCTATATTATGATTTAAATTATTTATATGCTCGGTTAACATGGTTTTGAATCGTTTGGTATTTTTTGAGTTATTTTTATGTTGAAAATAGCGTTTACTCAGATTTTGGCTAGTTTCTACAATATAAAAAAGTTCACAATTAGAACAATTAATCTGGTAAACTAAGTTCCTGAGGAGGCCAGAATTAAACTTAGATTTAATTTGCGTAAAAATGCAACTAAGGGTTGTATCACAATTTTAATTTTATTAGCTATTATATGTATTTATAATTTTGATTTACTATACTAAAATCTTCCTGTTTTTCCTCAAAAAATTATTAATTAAATTTTTCATTTATTTCATTCCATTTTTTGAAAGTAAATTTTTACTACTTATCTTCTTGTTAAAAATCAAATTGTACATTTAGTAAAAATTATTAGCCTATTTTTTTAATTCTGAATAAAAGACATTCAAAAATAAATAAAAATTTAAATCATTTTGCCAAAGAAAAAACTAGAATGCTCCAATCCAAAAGTATAAATAATAAATATTCAGAAAAACTTTATATATATAAATAAAAAATGAATTCGATTGGATCTTTTAAATACTTAATAATTTAACTATATTCATTCAATAATTCATTTATTACTATAATAAGGTTAAGAATAAATGCACTAGAATCACCAAATTAAACTTAGATTATTTTATAACTAAAATAATTAATTGCTCAAACATTCTGATGGGAAATATATTATGAATCATTAACTACCTTAAATTTAAAGGTTTAAATTAATATAATAATTCTATAAGTTTTAAATTAATATTTAATATTTTCTCATATAAACTTCATGCATAAAAAATCTGAGTGCGATTAAATTAATTTCAAATTTTTTTAACAAAAAAAATCAACTTCAGGTAATAAGTTTATAATCACATTTCACATTTAAATATTACCATTTTTTATATCATATTTATACGACTGACAATTCTAATTACCTGTTTCATATTTCCTTGATTCAGCTTTGGTAGCAAAAATAAATAAAAAAACGTATGAAAAATAAATTGCATAAAAAGTTTCTCTAGTAAATAGAAAATCTATGTAGAAAAATATATCTCATAAATTGGTTGATTATAAATTGGTTGTATTAAAATCCTATAAATTGGTTTATTAAAAATATATTTCGTATTAAATATTGATTGTCAAACAAAAGTTTCATATGCATGATGACATAATTTTGTTTATTTATATAAATAGTTAATTTTTTTTTATTAAATACCTTGAAACCTTTCTTCCTTTTGCAACACAAACAGCCACCAACAGTCACTAAGGCAGCTCCTAATAAAAATACTGATCCGATAACCCATTTTGATGTAGTGGATTCTGAAAAAAAAAACGAAATGCTCAGATGAATTCAAAATATAATTAATTGTATTTGGACAAATTATGAAAATGTATATCTTTTAAAACGTTTTATATTAATCCATAAACTTTGATAATTATGGCATACAAGAAAAAGTATCAAATAACTTTATTACTCACTCATAAGATAAAAGTAAAACTACAGCTTGTGCCAAATCTAAATTGCACAATCAGTTTCAATGTTATGATTAAGAAATATATAGGTTCTAGCATCAAATATTAATTTAGAGTTAAAACAAACTAATATAGTTTAACTAGAAAAATATGTTACAATTAGCTAATAAATATAACTGCTACATAATAGAATATTGGCGATTATTTATCTATAATTTTTAGATATAATTATAATTATCTTATTAACTTTACAAGTCATCAGTATAATGATATTATTATGATAAGGCTCATTTCAATATTATACAAATTTTAAAATAATTTAATTTATTATCGAATGCATTTACTATGCATTTTTCATTTTAATAAATTCTAGTTAATTTTAATTACTTTTTAAAAAATATGTAGTTAATAATTTATCACAATAATTGCATTATATTAATTATTTATATATTAATAAATATACTTAAAATTTAATTAGTCTAAATTTGAATATTTGCAAAATTTATTAATAACTAATATAAAGTATTACTTTATTACCTGTTGGTAATGAAATCGGGAGAGCTGAACTTATACCTATGATACCTATAGTTATAAAGATTATCCGAAGTAAATTCATGTTTCAAAAATGTAACACAGCTTCTGAAACAAAATATATATTTTTTAGAATATATTATTAGAATATTACATTAAGTAATCACATGACAATGATAATATAAAGTAATAGACACATTTAAAATAGTGGAAATAATTCTGATAAAATTAAAATATAACATTGGTTTTAATTGGAGTACTCCAATTTCTAAAGCATTGTTAAGAAAAAAATCAAAATAGAATTTTATTAACGTTTTGTTATGCACTGATTAATTAGTATGAATAAATTGCTAAAATTTGCGAATGAAAGAAATTATTTTCTTTAATGATAAACATGTCATATATATATATATATATATATATATATATATATATATATATATATATATATATATATATATATATAAATTCATATATATAAAAATAATCACGTTTAGAAATTTATGACCATATTTTTCCTCACATTAATATTGAACACTTATATAAAACTAAACATACAAATTACATTATTACAAAAAACAAAATAAATGACTCATTTCACATATTGTTCAAATGTTTATAGTTAAACCGAGAAAAGTAATTATATTTACTCTTGATTGTAATAATTGGATGTTTATAAAAAATAACTGTTCAGAAAATACGACTCATTAGATTCAAAATATAAATTTATATATATTTGTTAATATAGAAAAAAAGGTTAATAAAATATTATACGTTTCGACCTTTGATGTGTGTCATCATACAAATGAGAAAACGCGAAATTTTGTTTTGCCTTACTGTTAACATAATTTTTCTGCAGGCACTTTATATCTTCTTTTTTAGGTTTTTTTAAATTTCATTATTTACTAGTTATATTTGTTCTTACAAATTTGAATTTTTGTACTTTTTGTTATTTTTCTTGGTTTGACTGTGGAATGATGACACACGTCAAGTATTGAAACATATAATAAATAATTTTTTCTGTATTAGCATTTTTTATTTAAAAATTGGGCTGCAAATAAATAAATAAATGAATATATTCTCACATGTATGTTTAATATTCAGAATTATATATGTTTAAACATTTATATTGTATCGAAGGAAATATAGCTACACTTGAGAAATTCCTAATAGATAATATTACTTGCTAATCGCTTTGATGTACAATTTCAAAAGTTTAAAACCCAGACAGAAATGCAATTTTGATCCGAATGCAAAGAATATAATTTGATCATTATCATAGGTATTATTTTAATTGAGAAATAACATTACATGTAATGTACACTTGTAAATTTTCTAAATTAAGGACACATATAAAGAGACTGAAAGAAAATAAAAAATTTGTATATAAATCTAAAAATAGCAGAATCTTGTATTATACATAATAAAGGCAAAATAAAGATTCTAAAATCCATGTGACTAGTGCATCACTGCTATAATTGAATAGTACGTTGGACATATCAATAAAGTTTTGTTGAATTCTATCGTCTGAAAGATTACACGTGATGAGAAATAGATTAAGTTTAGTAGTGACGAGCAACATTTGTATATTTTGTATACTCGACATTATATTTTCTTCTTAAACCTTTTCGAAGAATTTCTCCATTTTGTTTAACTAAGCATTTTTAAAAGACTAACATTAATAAAATATGACGTCCTACTGACATCTAGCCATAAATGTACAAAATAAAAAAAACACTAGTTCTATCGTCTTTTGTTTGTTCGGTTCAGTGAAAAGTCAATATAACTCAAGCTAATAATTTTGTATTTCTGATGAAATTAAATTCTTATACACATAAATAATATATAGAGCAACTATCTAAGAAAATATAAAACACGAAAGTCCACTTTTGGCTTTCAAGCCGTTTGCAAACTTTTAAGAATTCTGCAAACTAGTCTTCTGCAAACATCAATGTGTAAAATTTTATGTAAACGTGTAAACTATGTGTACAAACAGAGTATACAATTTTTAATTTGATATCTACAAAAAATATAAAAAATGTATTACAGCCCTGTTTCAATAATCTTGATGTTTATTTTATAATTTATGTACTATACCCTGTGCACTCGTAGTGGAACTTCTTAGATTCTGATTAGATTCAAATTTTATATCCACTTTACATACCTTTGTTACTACACTTTTTACAACAAAGCACAAATATTGCAACAATTTGTTGTTATATAATTATATAACATAAACTTTTAATCACTTTTGCCAAATGAATGTAAATTGAATGTCATTCAATACATTTTTCTCATTGAGACAACTTTTTTGTTTAAGCTCTTCGTCTATAATAATGAAAGAAAAATGGTTTGTGAACATTAAATTTTAAAACATACATTGTTCCTTGTGCTATTGTAAATGGTAAGCAATCAATCGTAAAATCATAGATAAGTATGAGTAATACAACACACATATGTAAATAAGATAATGATGTCATTAAAGAAATGGATGAAAATAGAATTTATCACAAATTTAACCAAAACAGTATGAAATGTCACATGGAAAAAAAAGTTTTTTCCTCAGGACCACAAACTTACTATATTACCTTTACCATTTTATTTAACATGTGTTAGACATTATACAAATAAGAATCACCGTCACGATAATAATTTATGTGCGAACTTTAAAACATAATATTCATCTCGAGTCTTAAATTATGACACCATAATTGCATTCACTTTCTTTTTCTTAATTAATAATCATAAATTATATAAAATATACTTACAACGACACGCAAACTAGTGCAATATTACATGATGCCTGCTATAATATTTCTATTCTAAAACGTTGAATTGTTTTATTTTCCGTGTTAGGAGTCCGAATTTGTTTGAATTTGAGATAAAATGCACTTTAGATTTAAAATAAAAATGACAAATCGTATATGTTGCACCATTTGTCAAATTCGTTCTTTTTTCGATGTAGCTGTAGTGGTTATGAGGCAATCGGTGTTGCCCGATGAGGGGATTGAGAATCGCGATTTAATTTCCCGAAGGAGATGTTTATGTTTTTGACAGGTGAGGATATTTACTTTTAATTTTATATTTCGTCGACGTTTCGAGTCATTCTGAATCGTTTGACAATGAGATCGGAAAAATTATGTGCACGTATATATGTATAAACTGTATATGTTTTTGTTCGACATTGAAACACAGGGACCAATTCTGCGGTAACATAATGTTGTCATGGCAACGCTATCTTATTTTTAACTTTCTGTAGATTAAGCTATAGTAATCGCAAAAAAATGATTTTTTTATATATCTTCACGTTTCAAAACGTTCTGAACATTTTGGCATACCTTAGGAAAAATGGATGTATGTGTGTGTATGTGTATGTGTACGTGTGTGTATATGTGCGGATACAAATTTTCGTCGACGATTTCGGGAACACGGTTCAACCGATTTGAATAATTCAAAAAACATTCGATTCGCATACATAAAGAGACGTGCTGATAAGTTTTTGACAAAGGCAGGTCTAGCCGTTCCGAAGATACGGGGCAAAAACTGCTAAAACCGGTAACTCAGATTTTAAGACAACGGAGCGTCCGATTTGAATAATTCAAAATACATTTTATCTGTATTGACTAAGCGAAGAACTGATTAAATTTTTGGGAAAGGAGGTCTAGCGGTTTTGGATATCCGGAAGAAAAAGTACAAAAAAAATCCATTTGGCGCTCGAAAATCAGATATTTTGTAATTTGAATCGAACGATATGAATGGGTACCAAACAACTTCAAGAAATTTTAAAATTAAAAAAAGTCTTCAAAAAATACCAGTATTCTCAGAAAAGACATTTTTTTTAACTTCCCCTAGGGCAAGTTATAGTAATCGCAAAAAAAAATCGAAAATGAAAATTGTTATATATCTATACGTTTCAATACCTTCTGAACATTTTGGCATACCTTAGAAAAAATGGATGTATGTGTATGTGTATGTGTGTTTGTGCGTGTGTGCGTGTGTACGTGTGTGTGCGGATACAAATTTTCGTCGACAATTTCGGGAACACGGATCAACCGATTTGAATAATTCAAAAAACATTCGATTCGTATTGATAATGAGACTTGCCGATTAGTTTTTGGCGAAGGCAGGTCTAGCCGTTCCAAAGATACGGGGCAAAAAGTGCCGAAAACGGTAACTCAGTTTTTAAGAGAACGGAGTGTTCGATTTGAATAATTCAAAAAACATTTTACTTGTATTGACAAGATGAAGAATTGATCAAATTTTCATGAAGGCAGGTCTAGCGGTTTCGGAGATCTAACAAAAAAAAATAAAAAAAT